GGCATTAACGTGTTGGATTAAGCTTGCGCATACACGAGTGGGCCCGGCATCTGTTGGCAACATTTTTTGGAGTCAACATTAGGCTTTAGTTGGACCAATAAATGATTAAATGTTCCAAGATTCAAAGTCATCCAAGATGTAAAATAATGGGTCATGAGCAACATTAATTTTTTAAACACTTCCAACGGCCCACGTTATTTTCGGGTCGAGCTTTTGAACTTAGTTGTTAATAACAATTTAATTGGGTATCAAAACACAACATTTGTTATTAACAAGTTACTAGGACTTGAATATATGTGCTCTATTAATATAATTTATCAGAATAATAATTCAATTAAATAATATATCTTGTCATAAATAAAATGTATAATCATATTAAAAGTGTGTGTCTAAAATCGATTGAAATAGGGCACAACACTTACAATTTGTAGGCCTTTTCTTGCATCCCTAATCTAGAAGTCAAATGATAGGAAGTAAACTCATAGAGGGAAAAATGTACTGATGCATATCTGGACTTGTGTGTTGCCAAATAACCTACGGGCTATGAAGTACATTGGTTGGACTTCATAATAATTGAACAATTTAAAAGCCCCCGAACATTTCACACCAACAATGACAAGGCTCAAGTAGAAAGTGTCATTTTAGGTAACACTTTTATTACTTATTGCTCGATGATCATTTAATTTGTTGAGAGAATGTGACCTTTTGATCATATATTAGATCAACGGTTGTGGGTCCTTCTATATGGAGGAACCCTTAGCTAATTTCTCATCTCACCCTCTCATTCTCTCCTTCGCTCTCAAGTCTCTCGTTTTCTCTCTTCTTTCTCAAGTGTGCCTACTTCTTTGTGCAATTTCTCTGTAATTCTTTCCTCCATTCTTTATGAATGTTTCTATTGTTTCCTTCATGATTTCAAGGGCCGATTTTATTCATGTTGGAAGGTTTTGGGCAGTGGAGTTGGAGGTGATTTGTTGGGTGAAACGTGGGAAAAATTGAGCCTTGATTCTTGGTGATCCATTTTGACGTCGAATGAAACTTGTGTAAAAATATTTGCTTGCGAATCTGCGGTTGACACTATGAATACTGTTGGTAAATTGTTAAAATATCCAATATATTAAAACGACACTGAATATTCAAACCAAGTATCCCATCACTAGATCTAACAATAATTCAATTAACAATGAATTCTTAAACATGACTTAAGAATTAACACCTGCTGACTCAGCTCCACCTCATCAAATGAAGACAGTGATTCAGCACAGCCTCCATGATGTCTGAGACGTTCCTCCAGCTGTGCTCTTGGACCACTTTTCTGTTGAATAATATTCCCAACATGTTACACTAAATCAGGAGCTGAATAACAGCATTATCTTCTAGATTATTACTTTGACATTATATTGTACTATATATATNTTTCTGTTGAATAATATTCCCAACATGATCCACTAAATCAGGAGCTGAATAACAATTTTCATCTTCTAGATTATTCTTGTGATATCACATTGTATTATATATTCAATTAGCTCAATGAATATCAGTATGGTTTATGTTGCTATCAATCCTCAAGACTTAGAATTTTAACTCTAAATGACATAAATATTGATAATGAATTCTTAAACTTGACTAAGTGACATAAAGAGCAAATTTAAATATATGTAAAAAGAAATATTCAATAATTTAAAATACGGGGACTATCACCCTCTCACTCGGAGTTTGTTTATATGTAGTGAAATGGACACATTGAAAATAGGAAAAATACATATTAAAAACAAATTCTTTTGTGAAAGTTTTTTAGAATTTTGGAGTGAATGAGAAACAAATTTTGCGATTTTTTATTTATTATTTTTTGCATAAAATTTAGTACCCAAGAAACTTTTATAAAATTTTTAGAAGCCCCATGACTTATAAAGACTTTTAAAAGAAATTTAATTGAATACACTTTTGATTTTTAAAAACTTTTTAATAGTATATAGAAGTCTCAATTACATACACTAATATTTTTAGTCTTAAAATTTCTACATTGAATATTCTCAAACTTTTTAAATCCTTATAAGTTTTTAAAAGTTCCAATTCAGTACATCCTCCTTAGAGTCATAAGTAAAATTTTTTACATCTCTCTTTTCTACTGATTATTTTTGTTCTCTTTTCTTTTTTATTACGTAGGAGAAGAGATGGTAGGGATCGAACAACCACCTCTTATGTGGAACTTTCCAATATTAACATTACATCCAATGAATTTTATTGTAAATGAAATTATTCAAAAGTCAAAAGAATTCTATAAAAATTTTAAAATGAAAGTCTTTCATTAATTTCATAGAAATATATAAAAGTCCACAAATTTTAGAGAAATCATCACTTAAATGTCCTGATTGAATACACCTCCTAAGGGTTATCCTCACAAACGTCAATAGAGTGAATTTTAGAAAGTATAAAAACTTATAGCAGTAATTTGTTGGTTTAAAATTTAATCACATTAATAGAAAATTATTTTTCATTTGAAGACTAAATTGAAATGAATAATAGATCTTATATCACCTTGAAGTAATTGGATTTTGTTTTTAAATCCTCACACATAAGGGTAAGATAATAACCTTGAAGGGGATTTAATAGCTATTTAACTTTCTAATCAAAGCTTCCTCCCTTGGATCTTGTCCCTTGTTCTTCACCTTCAGGTGCCTCCCTTTTTTTGGAAAAAATGAGAGAATGTGGCTAACACTAATATTGAGAAAATGTGTCCATCTATTAATGAGAAAAAGAGACCTAGCTAGACTCACAAGACCTAACCTCCAATAGATGTTTTTAATTAGGTTAACTCTTGACCCATTAAGATACATCTATTAATCATATTTATTCTACCAAAAAGTCGAATTGCATTCTCGATCCTATCATCACTACTGAGCTCATGTTCAAATGCGTATAGAAAATACCTTGGAATGATGATCATCTTATCGTAATGATTAAATTAACATATGCAAGTATATGATCTCTACTGTTTCGCTTTGATTTCCAAAGCACCAAAATTAATCTTCTAATTATGACTTCACTCATTGGTACCTAGAAGAATTTGAACTAGTAATCAAAGGTACATTACTTGTTCGGGATTTAGGTGATTCGTTCGATGATCGAGTGTCTCATTTCAAGCGATTACTAATGAGTCATCTACGCGATCATGTTCAAGGTGCACCAAATACTTCATTATTCTTATTCTCAAGATCTAGACAAATCTTAATAAGAACAATTTAATCTTATCATTATAAAGCGTTCAATTTTATGTACCGATTGAGAACGATATATTTTGATCATGTCACAAAATGTGCCTGACTATACTTGAACCCTTAAGTATATAATTTGTGACATCCAATATGATCATGGAACTTTATATTACCGTTATAAATTAAAACACGCGAATAATTGAACATTAATTCATAATGTTGTTCACAAAATATTATTCGAAGGGCATCAAACTAACATAATTATAGAAATAACATATGGAGAGTTAAAAAGTTCAGGGTTGACCATAGTTTTTAAATATAATTTCTATATGGAGAGTTCCACGATAATCTTCCATGAATTTATATAATCTCCGAAATCAAAGAATGAGGAATTAGATTCATTTTATTTCCCATGTTTTGAGGTTATTTTTATTGAAAATATTCGAAAGGTCAAAAATATATTTCAAGTTTTATATTATAAATTTAATATTGTTTTAAAAAATGCATTTTTAAAAAGTTAAAATTGGAAAAAACTCACTTTTATTAAGAAAATATCTTCCAGGATTCCAAAAAAATTTTGAATTTCCATCATTTTCTTTAAATGGCGAGAAATTTCCCCCAACGTTATTCTGGCACTTTTACTCACGGAAAATTTGTCTTGTTCAATGATTCTAGAAAAGAAATGGACTGTATTGTGCCAACGAACCCAAATCTCAATTTTGGTGTTGAACATTAGGAGATGGGAACGAGCAAATCATTCTTATCCGTTCAAAATAATATTTTAAAACTCCACAAATATCTTCTAAATCCATTGTTCCTATCTTCGATTTGTAGTTCCACCTCATTTTGATCTTATCCGTCACAATGACTATACATAAAATAATTACGTAATTTCATCTTTCTTCTCTTCTATGTGAAGTTTTTATATAATGAGATGAGAACTTATCATAATAAAATATAACCCTTGTTTGGTGGAGATTAAAATCAGATTTTAAGTATATTTTGATAAAATATATAGTTAAAAAGTAGTGGAATCTATGAACTAAATGATTAAAATTAATTGTTGACTTTGACTTTTGCACTGATAAAAAATTATTTTATAATCTCTCTCAAACATGAGCATGATAAATTAGTACATTTGGAAAACATCAACCATGCAACATGTACCGAAATTGATGACAATGTGGATGACTGAACACTCACAATGGGAGCCCACTTTTTTTTGTGAAATTTTTTAATCACATGGGGTCCGCATGCATGTGAGAGGTTGTTATCCTCCATTATCATCAATTTATGTACAAATGAAATTGCCCGGAAAACATTATTGTAGTACATAAGAGTTCCTCTTCAATTGGTATGCTCACGACCACATATCTCATCTAATTTTCTAAGTGAAATAATTTGGCAGCAGCATGATGCGAAAGAGCATCTCTCTTGCAAGTTCAGCTCGATCTTCCTCTCTAGCTTCTTGTATATCCAAGGTACTATCAAGCGCACACAACATTTACAAGTCGGCACCATGCATTCTTCTTCTTTCTCGAGACTCGTGTCTAAGTCTCGCCAATTCTAATCCAAGGAGCACTTGGATCGATTTGAACTCAGATTTTCGCATAATTACCTCGCGTAACCAGTTTGTATCAATTTTACCAATTGTTTTCACTGTCCAAGTACTAAATGAGGAGGAGCTCGGATCCAAACCTTAGATAGGATCTGATATCTCAACACACTAATGCATATTTGATATGCTAGATAAGAGTCAATTAGATCTGACTAAAGTTATAGATGATGGTATATTATATCAAATATGGCGATCTGTGATAGTTCCTTCCTTGCAGATTGGAGTTAGGTATTTGGAGACTCAGGCCGCATCTTCTCGTAACAGGTAACTTTTTTGTTTTATGAATGGGAACGAAAAAAGGGCATGCACAATATCATCGTTCCTTTAAATTCAATGAGTCATCTTCTTCTTATTATGCAGTGACGGAGATGAGGAATATGCCGATAATATTGATTGGAATAATCTTGGTTTCGGTCTATTGCCAACTGATTATATGTATGTCATCAAGTGCGGCAGAGATGACGAGTTCAAACAAGGGCAGCTTAGTCGATATGGGAACATTGAATTGAGCCCTTCTGCTGGTGTCTTGAATTATGGTCAGGTAGTAAAAATTAACTTGATTATACGAACATTTATCTCGTGTAATGCTCTTGTCTTCAACTGTGACAGGGACTGTTTGAAGGTACAAAAGCATATCGAAGGGAAGATGAGCGCCTCTTTTTATTCCGTCCGCAACAGAATGCGATTCGAATGCAGATTGGTGCTGAGAGAATGTGCATGCCATCCCCTTCAACTCAACTATTTGTTGATGCTGTAAAGCAGACTGTACTCGCCAACAGGCGCTGGGTAATTCTATTTTATAAGCACTTTGGGCTCTATGCTTTGAGAATATTTTTCTTATATATATATATATTGTCTGTTGAATTAGGACAGATTCCTCCTCCAGGTAAAGGGTCTCTTTATGTTCGGCCTATACTCTTTGGAAGTGGACCTATACTGGGTTTGGCCCCTGCTTCTGAATACACATTCCTCGTGTTTGCATCCCCAGTTGGGAACTATTTTAAGGTCAATTCTCCCTTTTTTTTTTTCTTTCTTTCACTTTGTTATGCCATTCTTTTTATTTTTTATTTGAGCAATCATCTAGGAATATTTCCCAACAGGAGGGTACAGCACCCCTGAACCTATATGTTGAGGATGAATTTCATCGTTCAGCGCGAGGTGGGGCTGGAGGTGTCAAAAGCATTACAAATTATGCTCCGGTAAAATATATGCTGAATAATCATCGTAACCTCATAGTTTCCCTTTCACCTATTTGATACGTTGTCTCTGGTCTATTCAATGAGTTATGTAGGTTTTGAAATCATTAAGCAAAGCAAGGAACAGAGGGTTCTCCGATGTCTTATACCTTGATTCGGTGAATAAGAGATATATTGAAGAAGTCTCTTCTTGTAATGTCTTCATTTTGAAGGTATTCAACTAATCACATTTGAAAAATCAAATTAATATGATATATTTATTCAAGGCAGCTGTTTCTTGAATTACTAGGAGGTCTTACTCAGATTTACAGAATTTTACCGGAAATCATATAATTCATAATTATGCTATTTGTACAATGTGTTTGTACAACATTGTTGACATTGTTGGTTGTTGCAAAGAAGAATTGGTTGAAATGATGAATTGTTTTTTAAACTGCCAAATGATAACATGNGGGTGTGACAGAGGAGTATTGGTTGAAATGATGAATTGTTTTTTCAACTGCCAAATGATAACATGCCACGTGACATGTTGTCAACAATGATGTCAAAATCATTGTACACCAAGTATTGTTCTATAATTCATCCACTTATACAGGGAAATGTTCTTTCTACGCCGGCGACCAATGGAACTATTCTCAAAGGAATCACACGTAATAGCATCATAGAAATTGCACCTGATCTTGGTTACCAGGTAATATGATTTTGATAACAAAATTCTTTCCTCTTGAATTAAGATTCTGTTAGCTTTATGTATAAATTCAATATTGACATTGTATCGATTTGTTAAGAATTGATATCAAGTCATCACACTCTCCACATCATCACTCCAGCTCACCAATACTCCTCAGCATTCCATCATTGATTGCATTACAGTTTTGCCTTGCTGTTGTTGGCCCACCATTTAGTTGTACAAAGATTCCAACATGATCCTTGATTTAAGGAACAACCTAACAGCTATATTTTCTAGATCCTTCTTGTATCAATAGCTATGTATTATATATTCGATTACATCAATGAAGTTGATTCACGGTTCAGCAAAATCATCTTCTCATTTCATCCATATTTCAACTTGGTATCAGAGCTGATCATGGCAGACGCCAGCTATACACCTCAAAACCCCAATCCAGCCACAGCTCCAGTTTTCATTTCCAGCAGCGCTGCTGCGCCAATGGCTGGAAGTAATCATCTCTCACCATTTGGTGTTAACCTGACTCAAACCGTGTCTGTAAAGGTTGACAACAACAATTATCTACTATGGAAAAATATGATTCTACCAATTATCAGAGGCCACAATCTGGAAGGCTACATTTTTGGGACAAAATTGTGTCCTCAAGAGTTTATCAGCAACCAAATCACTGGTGAGGTAGGCACCAGTGTTGAGGTGGAAAAGCATCCTGAATTTTGCAAATGGATGTCGACTGACCAGCTACTGATGGGATGGATTTATTCCTTAATGACTTCAGACATAGCAATGAAAGTGATGGGTGCCGTTAATTCCAGTTAACTATGGACTGCCATTGAAGAAAACTATGGAGTTCAAAATAGATCAAGAATAATATTTCTCACTAGTGAACTTCAAAAATGTAGAAAAAGAAATATGAGTATAGATCGATATCTCAACAAGGTGAAACAACTCTCTGATAATTTAGAGATTGCTAGGAAAACCATTACCCTTATAGATCTGATCACTCAAGTCTTAGCTGGATTAGATGAAGACTACACGCTAATTGTTGTTCAATTGAACAGCAGAGATCACATGTCTTGGGGAGAGCTTCAATCCACCATGATAACTTATGAAATAGACTGGAACACCTCAATTCAATTAGGAATGAAATGGCAGGACTAAGTCTTAACCAAACTTCAGCCAACATCTCACAGAGAACTGGTTTTGGCTACAATCATTTCAGGTCTAACAGGCGAAGTGCAGGAGAAAGATTCACTAATTTCAATCACTACAGAGGTGGAAGGAGAGGTAGAAGCAGAGGAGCAAATTCTTTTGGAAAAGATAGACCTATTTTCCAAGTCTGTGGGAAAATAGGGCATAAGGCAAACATCATTCATTTTAGATATGATGAAAGGTACTCTGGCATTTCACTAAATCAAAGGATCAATTCATCGTATGCAGCACTCATAGCCTCCCCTAACACAGTCAGTGATCCTGCCTGGTTCGCAAACACAGGTACCATTAACCACATCACATCTGAGAAGGGAAATATTGCTTTTGCAAGTTAGTATACTGGTAAGGAAAAAGTTGTAGTGGGAAATGGAAGTAAGTTAAACATTTCACACCACGGAACGTGCTTTTCTGCCTTGAATAATAAAACACTGGTGTTTAATAAATTGCTGCATGTTCTTAAGATAAAGAAGAACCTAATTAATATATCACAACTCACCTCAGACAATAATGCTTTCATGAAATTTCACCCCTCTTGTTGTTTTGTTAAGGACTTGTCGATGAAGGAAGTGATGCTACAAGGGAGACTTAAGGATGTGCTGTATCAACTTGAATTCCCTCATCAAAACATCAAGCAACTTCATCACCAATCAAGCTTTCCAAATAAGTTCTACTGCAACACCTCCTCTGGTCCTATCAGTCATGAGTCCTCTCTTAGTTTTCCTGTTCGTTCTAGTCTAGAGTCCTCAAGTATTGATGTATGGCATAAAAGACTTGGTCATCCATCCAGTCAAGTGATGAATCAAGTTTTTAAAATCTGTAACTTGAAAATTGAGGAAAATACCATCAAATCCTTCTGCAATGAATGTCTACTTGGCAAATCTCATTTACTTCCTTTCCCTTTATCTTCATCACATGCTGAAACACCTTTATAATTGGTATTTACTGACATATGGGGACCTACTCCAGTCCTATCAACTTCGGGATTCAAATACTACATAACTTTCCTAGACGATTACAGCAGGTTTACCTGGATCTACCCTCTAAAATTGAAATCTGAAGCACTAAAGGTATTTTGCCAGTTCAAAAAACTTGTTGAGAACAAACTAAACCACAAAATAAAGGCCTTGCAGGCTGATTGGGGGTGGGGTGGGGTGGGGTGGGGTGGGGGAGAGAATTCAGAACTTTCACAAACTACTTGGCACAAGAGGGAATAGAATTTAGGCATCCATGCCCTTATACCTTAGCACAAAATGGCCGAGTAGAGAGAAAACATAGGCACATAACTGAGACAGGTCTAACACTATTGGCTCAAGCTCAGTTACCTCTAAAATATTGGGGGGATTCCTATCAAACAGCAACATACCTCATAAATAGACTACCTATTCCTATTCTCAAACAGAAATCTCAATTTCAAACCCTTTACAAAAGAGAACCAAACTACAATGCATTAAAAACCTTTGGATGTTCTTGCTATCCTTGCTTGAGGCCATACCAGAAACACAAGTTCGGTTTTCATTCAACAAAGTGTGTCTTCCTAGGCTACAGTGATGCTCACAAAGGTTACAAATGCCTAAAATCTTCAGGCAGATTGTATATTTCTAGACACGTTGTTTTCAATGAACTTGAATTCCCTTTTGAGTCCTTATTCAAAAATCAATCACAGTCTGAAGTATCTGAAATAATTGTTCCCTACTCTTACTTGCCATCTGATCCAAAAAAATTCACTGGAGGTCTAATTGATACAGCTCAGCCTGAAGCAGCCCCTGGTCCACATCACTTTCCATCTGACTCAGGTAACAATCAACAAGTAGATGATCTTCCTAATAGTTACAGTGAGGCAGACAAAATTGGAGTTGAAGGCTGTGATGAGTCTGAATCTGTTGAACCAGCAGCTAAAGTGCTGCAGGATTCTGAGAGAGATCAAAACACTCAGGAAGCAGGAGATAATGAGTTTCAAAGCAATCAGGTTCAAGAAAGACCAAGAGTTGAAAATCAACACCAAATGGTCACAAGAGGAAAAACAGGGATATTCAAGCCAAAAATCTATCTGGTAAAGCCAATTGAAAGTAATCTAAATCTATCAGAACCTAAGTGTGCAAAGGAAGTAATGATGAATGCAAACTGGAAACGAGCCATGGAAGAGGAATTAAATGCCTTGGCAAAGATAAAAACCTAGAAGCTTGTACCTGCACTGCCTACCTATAACATAGTAGGAAACAAATGGGTCTTTAGGATCAAACGCAATGTTGATGGATCAGTCCAAAGGTACAAGGCCAGGCTAGTGGCAAAAGGCTTCCATCAAGCCCCTGGAGTCGACTACTATGAGACCTTCAGCATTGTGATCAAACCATCTACTCTGAGAATCACACTAACTTTAGACATCTTCAAGGAATGGATCATCAGACAAGTAGATATAGACAACGCTTTCCTCAATGGTGAACTCGAAAAAACTGTCTATATGAATCAGCCTGAGGATTTTGTTGATGAATCAAAGCCAAACCATGTATGCAAGCTCGAAAAGGCCCTCTATGGATTGAAACAGGCTCCTAGGGCATGGTATGATAAGCTGAAAGTCACATTCTTGGACTGGAAGTTTAAACAATCTGTAGCAGATACATCGTTGTTTTATTTCAAGACAGAACATCAGGTAATCTTCGCCCTTATTTACGTTGATGATATTGTCATCACTGGCAATGACAAAGATTTGATACAAAGCTTTATAAGTTTACTTAATGAGAAATTTGCCCTGAAAGATATGGGAAGATTGCATCACTTTCTTGGGGTTGAAGTTGTATGGCATAACTCTGGGATTCATCTCACTCAATCTAGGTATATCACTGATTTGCTTAAAAGATTTGAGCTCGAAAATGTTAAACATTGCCCTACACCTATCCTTGCTGGTAGAACTATCTCCAAAATTGATGGTGAAATGCTGGCAGAACCGTCAGTTTACAAAAATGCAGTTGGGGCTTTGCAATATCTTTCACACACAAGACCAGATATTACCTTCACCGTCAACAAGCTGAGCTAATTCCTACAATTTCCAACCTCTACTCATTGGCAGGCTCTGAAGAGAGTACTGAGATATCTTAAAGGAACCATAAATCATGGGTTATGGATCCAAAGAAGTGACAGATTGAGTCTTAATGGTTATTCAGATGCTGACTAGGCCTCTTGCCCTGATGACAGAAGATCTACAATAGGATATTGCATCTATTTAGGTGATAATCTTATATCTTGGTCTTCCAAGAAGTAGCACGTGGTTGCACGCTCAAGTACTGAATCTGAATACAAAGCACTTGCCTTAACTGCTTCAGAAGTTTCATGGATTCAATCGTTCTTCAAGAACTTGAGCTTCCATTGGCTAGAGTTCCAACTTTGTGATGTGATAACATGAGTGCAGGAGCTCTTGCTTCCAATCTGGTTTATCAAGCCAGAACGAAGCACATAGAATTGGACATCCACTTCATCAGAGATAAGGTGCTGACAAGAAAATTTGAAGTGAAATATATACCCACTTCAGATTAAAATGCAGATTTGCTAACAAAATGGCTAAATCATTCCAGGTTTCTCTTCTTAAAGGACAAGCTTGGCGTCACTTACGCACCATCCAGTTTGAAGGGGGGTGTTAAGAATTGATATCAAGTCATCACACTCTCCACATCATCACTCCAGCTCACCAATACTCCTCAGCATTCCATCATTGATTGCATTACCGTTTTGCCTTGTTGTTGTTGGACCACCATTTAGTTGTACAAAGATTCCAACATGATCTTTGATTTAAGGAACAACCTTACAGCTATATTTTCTAGATCCTTCTTGTATCAATAGCTATGTATTATATATTCGATTACATCAATGAAGTTGATTCACGGTTCAGCAAAATCATCTTCTCCTTTTATCCATATTTCAACTCGATTCATGGATTAAGTTTCAATGAGCGAATCTAAGGGAATTTTTACTGTCTGCTATCTTTGTGTATTCGAAATTTGTATTTATCTTCCTAAATTAAAACTCAGGAAATATTCCCCAATTGTGCCAGGTTGAAGAACGCCCTATTCCAGTGGAAGAATTACTTGATGCTGACGAAGTTTTCTGCACAGGAACTGCTGTTGGTGTTGCTCCAGCAGGAAGTATCACATACAAGGGTAACAGGTAAATAAACAATAGCCTTTTTCTTGCTAAATTTTGTTAGACTCAAAAGTCCCATAGTATCTGCTGGTTTTGTTTGGAAGAAACACTTTGTGGATTTTTCTTTCATTCTGTAGGAAAAGTAGTAATACAATTTCACCAAGAGCTAGTTCTTATTTTTACAGGATTGAGTATAAGATGAGCAATCAACTTGTGTGTCTTCAACTGTATTCAAGACTAATGGGCATCCAAAGAGGCAGTATTCAGGACGAGAGAGGATGGATCATTGAGATTGATTGATTAAATTCAAATTTGTGCTTAAATTTTTTATGAAGGCAAAATAATAATCATTTAATTTCGGGTTTGTTCGTTTTTGGTAAATTGCACGTCAAATTTTGGGCAAATTCCATCGTTTAGACCCTCAATTAAGCGTTTTTGCCGTTTATGGTAATTTTTGTTTTGATAATATATTAGTCAAATAAACTCATATTTGATTTTCGTTTGTTGAGAGATGATCCTGATGATTAGGAGAATCAANATTATGTACATATAGCATAACCCATAAAACATTGGTGTTAAATAAATTGTTGCATGTTCTTAAGATAAAGAAGAACCTAATCAGTATATCACAACTCACCTCAGACAATAATGCTTTCATGAAATTTCACCCCTCTTGTTGTTTTGTTAAGGACTTGTCGACGAAGGAAGTGATGCTACAAGGGAGACGTAAGGATAGGCTGTATCAACTTGAATTCCCTCATCAAAACATCAAGCAACTTCATCATCAATCAAGCTTTCCAAATAAGTTCTACTGCAACACCTCCTCTGGTCCTATCAGACATGAGTCCTCTCTTAGTTTTCTTGTTCGTTCTAGTCTAGAGTCCTCAAGTGTTGATGTATGGCATAAAAGACTTGGTCATCAGTCTAGTGAAGTGATGAATCAAGTTTTTAGAATCTGTAACTTGAAAATTGAGCAAAATACCATCAAATCCTTCTGCAATGAATGTCAATTTGGCAAATCTCATTTACTTCCTTTCCCTTTATCTTCATCACATGCTGAAACACCTTTATAATTGGTATTTACTGACATATGGAGACCTACTCCAGTCCTATCAACTTCAGGATTCAAATAATACATAACTTTCCTAGACGATTACAGCAGGTTTACCTGGATCTACTCTCTAAAATTGAAATCTGAAGTACTAAAGGTATTTTGCCAGTTCAAAAAACTTGTTGAGAACAAACTAAACCACAAAATAAAGGCCTTGCAGGCTGATTGGGGGTGGGGTGGAGAATTCAGAACTTTCACAAACTACTTGGCACAAGAGGGAGTAGAATTTAGGTATCCATGCCCTTATACCTCAGCACAAAATGGCCGAATAGAGAGAAAACATAGGCACATAACTGAGACAGGTCTAACACTATTGGCTCAAGCTCAGTTACCTCTAAAATATTGGTGGGATTCTTATCAAACAGCAACATACCTCATAA